TGGAAAGACAGTCAGTCTTTATGATATAAGTTCTTGTGAGTGGCTGAGTGCTACCAATATTAAGAGATTTTAGTCGTCACGATAAACGTGAACGTTTTAAGTCGAATTAAAGAAGTGAAGTTTGCGAAGGAGTAGTTGTTGCCCTGTACCTGTTAATGGAAGTTTTTCCACCATCAAAAGGCCAATACTATAATTGCAATTACAACGAAGTAGTTGCAATCACTGAATGTATGCCCGCTAATGTTTGGCGTCTAGTTACCCACTTCTGTTAATCCTGCAGATTGCGCTTCCCGTAGGCTTTGTGGTTCAGACCTGGTCAGTCACCCTCTATGGTGACACGGTCCTAGTTTCCTTAAGCAAGCACCCTCTGAATGGTCATCCTATGTTTTTGGACAAGGTTCATCTGAACAACTACCTGAGCTGGGTTCTATCGCACCAGCGTTTGTTGAAGCTGCAAATGAAAACAAGGCTTTCAACAAAATAAAAGATTTCTCTTTCTTAGGGTTGTTGACACGTGTTTTTAGTTATGATAGGGAATGCAATCCCCCAGCAAAATTTCGATCCCGGTATTTGCGGTATCATTAGATAGTAATCCCGCGGGATCCCGGTATTTGCGGGATCCCGCAAAATTTTAAAAACATTCGGAAATAAGTAATTTTGTGCAGTTAACGGAATATTCTCAAGAAAACACATTGTATTTCGCGGAAAGAATGCATCACATCCGCCGTCTTTTCTTGTCGCCAGTTAGTAATCTATTATGGCCCCTCCATGTCTATCTGGATTTCCAGAATATTCGCTGCAATATTTCCATACAGCCACTTTACTACAAAGGTCTTTTATAAACAATCGACGAGTCCGACATATTGTCTACAAGAACAACGGTACCTGCGTTTTAATACAGTAGCAATATAAGTCCGATTTGCGTACTGATTCGCTGTTTAACAAAGTTAATAACAGATACGGATTTGCGAGTAATTATTGCATGAACTGCAACAAGAAAAATGTGCGAAATAATCAAATTCGCAGAGTTGCTAATATATGGGGGTACGCTGGTCGATAAATTCTGCAATCACGCCAATCTCGCGGGATCCCGCTCCATTTACGTACTAGATAGATTAGGTGAATCTAATAGGGTAAGCTTTATCTAGGTGCCAGCGCAGTGCGGAATAGAGGGCAACGAAAGGGCGGACGTGAAGTCAGTGATGGGGTCTTCGTCGGGCCCGAGCCTACCGTAGGGATTGCTCCCTCCGTTTTCAGGGCCAGGATTAAAGATTGGGTGACCAGTCAATTCCAGGTTCAGTGGACTCAAACAGTCCAAGGTCTTCTTAACAGGGCCCCTTGGAAAATCAAGGTCTTTTAAGCTTCTAAAACTGAATAGAAGCCAGATTAGGAAGATCACTGGTATCCTTACGGCGCACTGGATGGTCGACTATCACCTGCATAACATTGGGATCCTGAACACTTTAAATAAGTTCTCCTCATTGAATGATATCGACTTTTTCACGATCCCCTCAATGTAATAGTTAATCAAGCCCTAAGGTATGTTCGGATCCCCAGTGCCATGTAATTGGAATTTCCTATTCTGTATGGGTCTGGTTAAACAAATAATTAAATAAACATTATGTCCTGGTAGAGACGGCATCTCGTCCTCTCACTTCGCTAATACGTTTTCCCATTGAGCAGTGAGGAAAACGCGACAATTATGGTTTAATGGTTAAGTCAATACTTGGGAGGTCTCTTGAAGCAGACTTCCAGAACTTGTCTCGATAGTAAAATACATCAGGTACGCTTTCCTTGACAGCCGTAAAAGTAGGTAGGTAACTGAATCTAATTACGTTACTTATACTCGTATGTGTTTCAAGATAATTAGAGTAGACAGCGATTCTTAGAGGAATGAGAATTTCGTACGATATAAGACAAAAAACATCCCTTAATATGAGATTAGTCGTTTCCATCACAATTTCATCTTCCGTTTTTACTTTAATTAACTTTCGCCAAAAGCATTTAATAAACTGACAGTATTGTTTTAGCAATTTACTTATTCATTATTCTGTTTCAGAAGCTCACCGTGCTCTTGAGCTGCTCGAGGATTATCATTCGAAGCTTACAAAGCCTCAGGATAAACAACTGAGACTAGCTATAGAACGTGTTATTAGAATTTTCAAGTCGAGGCTGTTCCAAGCATTACTGGGTAAGTAGTGGAACATAGAACTTGTGCACAAATTATTTATTGATCGATAATGAAATTTACCATAGCAGCATTTAACAAAACTTATTACAGTAATATCTTTGACATACCAAAGTTAAAGTTGCGGTAATCTAAAGAATACGTTTATTAGTTTGTAAATCATCCAATCGTCAAATAAAGGACGTTCAACTATATAACCAAATAGTACGACTACGTCTAACAATGACCAGAGCAAACTTCCATTTAGAGATTCGATCATTCGTTACCTTACAGGATTGAACTTCAACAAATTCGCGATCTTGTATAGCGTACCTATATTAAACACCTGTTGATATGTTCGAATTCGGCACCCATTTATCAGAAATTGTTTCTCTTTCTAGTAGTAAAGTATCGACTATCTGTCTGGGTAGAACTATCAACGTAGTAAAATAATTTTACAGCGAATTGTGTAAATTTTAACATGTCCAAACAATAGAGTTCCTATCTAACCCATACATCACATAAAAAACGAGCAATTAACTTTTGAACGTTGTTTCAATGTGTAAAATAAGTCGAGCAAATACGTCACATCATAAATGATTTTCTTATATCAAGATATCAAATTATTAATCCTTACAATTAACTTCTTAAAACAGGAATAGTCCCCGGGAAGAAATCCAGGCAGTTATCATAGTACATCATAATAAAATTGGCCACAAAATTTGTTATCTCTTTCCACTTTCCAGCGAAATAACAACACTAAAAGGCCATATTGAAGAAAAATAATAAAAAACATGCCAAATACTTGTAAGGAATGCATCTCCATTTAGCATTAAAATTTTATTTACTAATATTTGAATTTGGTTACATCCAACACATAGAACACCCGCTTTTAACAACTGGAACTGGAATTGGTTTGCATGGACTCTCGAAACGCAAATGAAACCATTTGTGTAACATAATCCCCTCTCTGAATTACTCAGCAATTGTTTAACGCCCAACAATAGCGAAATGATTTTTTATACTTGACTTCTTAATTTCTATTGGTTATTCATTTTCTTTCCACCATTACTAAATGGCTTTCAGGACTGTGGCTGACTCTCAAATTTGCAGAAGCACCGCTTGCTTCTCAATTAGCTGAGTTACAGAAGTAACCAAAAAAGGCCACTTACAGAGTGTAATTCAAAACCAGACCCAGATAATGAGGCTAAAACTAAAGATTTGGCACAATTTGTTCATTGATAATTGTGGGAAAATGATGACTCTCACTTTTAGTGTAATCATGAAAATTTGAAGCTACCATGAACAATATTTGTTTGGGAGAATGTTGCCAGAACCTTGACTTCTTTACAACTTAAAACAGAAATTATTTTTTAGAAATGGTATACCATTACTATTCCACAACATTTTTTTTAAATTTATTGTCCCTTTTTTGTTCTGAGCCCTCGACAGGCTTTTGTCCAATTACAGAGTGACCGGCATAACGCTTTTTAGAGGTGCCCCTGCAGAATGTCTTAAATTGTTCTATACTACTCCGGTATTTATCTCACGAATTAGGAAAACTGCAGGGAAACCTAATTCGGAGTAGCCGGCAGAATGCTCGAAACTGATCTAAGGAAATTCCCATCTTCGCCACAGATGAAAAATTCTTACCTCAGCCCACCACCCACACCCGACCTCCTGGCTATCTAGCCCAACGGTCTACCACTGAGTTACACATGATATATATGTCATTTGAAAGGGCTATTTGACTGGTTTAAATGTCAATAAAAAATAATTGTATATTATATACCAAGGGACTAAGAGTTTTATTCCTGAGGGTGCCGATTGTTCACCGAAACGTAGTTGAGGGCAACAAGCTCCCGAGGGATAAGGACACACTTTAGATCTATGGTATGTACGCTATTTTTGTACTCCTGTAATCCAAAAGTCCAATTTGAAAGATAAAATTAATTTATTGTGCGCGCAGCATTTTTTTAGACGGCGAAAATTGAGAAAATTGGAGACAAAAACAGCATTTGCGGGAGGTTTTCTTGAGCTATTTTCTGCAAAGAAAACTGCTGCTGAAAGTCATCGTTTGCTTGTGGAAGTTTATGGCGAACATGCTCTAGCAAAAACAAAATGTATCGACTCATTTCAACGCTTCAAAAATAATGATTTTGATGTTAGTGATAAAGAACGTCCTGGGCAGCAAAAAAAGGTTTGGAGATGTCGAATTGGAGGTCTTGCTGGATGAAGACTATAGCAAACGCAGGAATCGTTGGGACTCACTCAACAAGCCATTTCAAAACGTCTGAAAGGTATGGGAATGATTCAATAGCAAGCAACTTGGGTGATTATGAATTGAAACCAAGAGATATTGAACGACGACACAACTTTACGGGTTCAAACAAATTGTTTTTTTTTGTCATAAAAGAAGACATTTACAACTTTTTTCGCAAAAATAAAAATTGAAAACGAAAGCAATTTGAGGTACACTATGTGAAAAAAGTGTAGGTATATATACAAAACTTTATTTTTTTATTCCTAAAACTTTGACTTCTAACATTATAGCCTAAAATTAATATTTTTGCCACAAATTGCAAAATAGCACAGTCCACCCCTTTCAACCCTCGAGACTTCGCCCGCAGAAAAATCCAGTAGTTTCAATTATTTTTTCCCATTTCGAATCACTTTACCTACATATTTAATTGCCTACATAATGAAACTCGGTTTGGGCCGGAAACTAATTTGTTTCATGAAAAATACTAGGCGTATAGCTTGAACTAGGAGAGTAAAGTGTGAATTTAATTTCTGTCAAGACGATATCAGGTCGCCATAAAAAAACGCATAATTTGAATGACTATAGTCACATTACTTTTATTACTAATAATAACTGAAGGCATGCAATATGGTAACACGAAAATTTACCACCTTCTTCCGTTTAAACCACCTTCGCTACTAGGAATATACACCCCAGTGTAAGTTCCAGATTCCCCAGAAAACGACTGAACTTGTCCGCTTTTTAATCCACCGCTACCATAACTGCTAAACTTTGAATGTCCAAAGTCGTTGCCGTGAAAGCAATCGTCAAGATATGACTCGTCCTTGATGCTACTGTGGTCTTCACCAATTGAGAAATGGACATTCGCATTATCTTTGATGAAGTCTTCGTTGTGTTCGCTAATGTATACGGGTGTTGGAACCTTAACAGGGTATGGTTCGGATACTTTTACGTACACTTTCTTTTCAACGGGGTAAGGAACGTGCTCGGTTACTCTTACGGGGTAAGGTTTCGGTACCTCAACAGGAACTTTCACTTCATAGGGCACGTGTTTGGTAATATGTACGGGGTATGGTTTGGGAATTTCAACCGGAACATGTTTCGTAACTGGTACATAAACCGGTTTATGAACCGGATAAGGGACTCTTTCTGTAATTTTTACCGGATAAGGTTTGGGAACTACAACGGGTACTTTTACTTTCACCGGAAACGGAACGTGTTTAGGAACTTCAACGGGGTACGGCTGCGGTATTTTCACTGGCACATGTTTTGTAACTGTAACCGGATATGGTTTCGGAACGGGTACTTCCTTCGTAATTGTGTGAACGGAGTGCGTATGAGTGTTGATGCTAGGAAAATGATCGTGTGATCCATGATCTGGCACATAATCACTGTGCCCCCCCGAATATAACCCATTTACATTTGAAAATGCGTGCCCTTGGTGCCCACCATAGGTATGTGTCGACAAACAGGAACCCCAACACTTGTTTCCATACGCGTCGTACTCATCTCCATGAATTACACTTCGTTTATTAGTAATTTTTTCCTCATTTGCCTCTTCACAGTTACCTGCGGTGAATAGTCCTATTACAATACCCAGACACTAAAAAAAAACTTAAACCATTTTGGAGGATATGATTGCTCTACTTACCAACAGAAGACACCACCTTTCACTTCTTGCCATTTTTCAATTAGGAGTATGGCACCAAGTTGAGTGTTCTACTATTTATAAGCTCTAGATCAAGTTTTAACAGATGATAAAAAACTAGTTGGGTATTTGCATGTCATTTGAATAAAGGAACATTTTAGTTAAAACGTTAATTCCACTTTTGCTTCATTAAATTCAGTTTTCGGAACGCAAGTTTGGAAATACCAGCATTCCTTTGTGCCTATACCGTCTCGAAAATTTCCATTTTGACAATTCTATAAATAAGATTTTTTTCTATAGGCGTGGGACGTCCGTAACCTTATAAAGTAAATCGCTCTTTATATAATTTTGAATGTATTTACTCGACAAGCTTATATGCTTTTCCATCCATTCAAAAAACAGATAATGACAGCCGTCAATGAATGGCTAAAGAGTTTTAATGAGCAAAACGCCTCGGAATAACACAATCCACAAATGTTACATAATTACAAGATTATCAAGAGATTTGTGACAGTTATTGGATCTTAAATTTATTAATCTCGTAAAAATGTTGCAGGTGCTCATTTAAACTAGTAAAGTGGCGAATTTTGTACAAGATCGATAGATACGCATTCTGAAAGGAAGTTTCGAAGCAGTAGTGTGAAAAGAAAAGTTATGGCTTGCAAAATGAGAAAATAAATCATCTTCCGGGACGTTTTAAATTAGAAATCAATGATCTTTTAAGAAAAGTTTGATGAATTTCACACGACGGCTTTATATATAACAAAAATACAAGAAAGGTATTGGCTGCAATTTGTTCCTATCCGATAAATACGTGGGTTCGGTTTTTAGAATTATATCTTTTGATCATTTAAAATTTGAATTTTCTGCAATTAAACCCTTTTTTGTACGCTATTCAGTGTCATTATCAAAGAAAACATATTTTTTTACACGGGTAATGTACAATATTCACCATCCCTTCATTAGTCTGCTTAACAGTGGACTAACAATAATATTGGTTTTTATGAAAGCTGTATGTATTAGTGTCACTTTCATACAAATTTGTGGGAAATCTGTCCTTGCATACGTTCTCATCGAAGGTTATTATATACAATTGAGAATTGACACGATACTTAGCCGTGGCAAAAGCATTTCAAGATAATATTGACCTTTTTTCACTTCACTCATTTCGAAATACGAATTGGGCATTGAATGTGCATCTACCTATCTATCTAATGTTTCGAAGTCAAAGATGAAGTTTTGTGTTGTCTTTTATGTCAAACAAAAAATATACCATAAATTTCCTACCAGGATTTCGACAAGGTAATAAATAATGGCTGACAAAGCTATCTAATATAATCTTTAGAAATTGAACTTTTGATCAGCGGTTTCAGTTGGGTATTTTTACTACAAAGTGTGTGTTCCTCTTGAGGTAACACTAAGAAATGCCCCCTGTGTAATGTTTGCTTTTACATTACATTAGCAAAAAATTTTATATTCCATTTGGGCGCCAGTAAACTTTCAAGTCATAAAGAGGAAGACGGGCGAATCTTACCTTTATTTTTTGACTTATGAGTGAACCTCGACTAACTTAGATGTTATTAATTAACCAATCATTTGCGTAGTAACAAATTAAACACTAGCTCTAAAGTAGGCGTATAATTAACACTAATTGTATACAAATATCTTAATTAATAAATAATTAAGGTATATTTGTTGTATACAACCATCAAAATGATTTGAACTTCTCACTTGACTAAAATCATGGATAGCGACGAGGAGCGGGGGGATCGAGGATTTTGCCATTATCCGCAAAAGTTACCGAGCACCATGATTTCAAACGATTTTACTTGACTACATGACGTTTAAATTTCGATTACATGGCTTTCACAGGCATTACTCATTACATACTAATACGAAATGATTACATATCAATTCATTAATTACATCGGGACCACATGGCGATTACATGGAGACTACATGAAGATTACACGATATTTCAGTATGATTACATGATTTCATATTGATTAAATTGGAATAAGTATAAGTTAAGGTGGCGTTTACAAAAAATGCAAAATTTGCCTTACGATCTCCTCAATAACTTTGTTTCGAGGTAAAAAATGAACTTCTGTTAACGACCGATGGTTGCTTGTGAATGAAGTTAAATTTGATAACAAATTATTATCAGTGTGTGATAAAAATGAAAGATATATTGATTCGTTTCGGAGAACTGACAGGTTCACTTAAGTTTAACAAACAAATTGAAGCGCCAAAATAAAATTTTAATATAGGTTTTTTTTTAGAAAAAACTATTTCAAATGCAAATTATCTCCGAAACGAATCAATAGAATTTAAAAAGCAAAGCAGATTAGTAATCACGATTAAATTGGCTTTCAAATAATGGGCCGTTTTATAGGATTCCATTTAAACTTTTAGGGGTTAAGCTCCCTACGTAGAGAGGTGAAGACTTGGGTGCGTGATTTGTATTCCAAAAGTTGCCCCCCTCGAATACAAAATTGACGTGTTCGAGGATTTTTCGAAATTTCTAAATTTAATACCCTAAAAGCCCTCTGTATACTTCTCGTTGGGCCACTCTGTATTATACACAGTGTTTTTTTTAAGATGGGACATACGATCGTATGGTCCATCTTAAAAAAACACCCTGTACATATTAGATTATTTCGTATAGGATCTTCCTGAAAAGGCTTAAAATTGAAGAAATTTTATTTAAATTGCGGTTAAAGAATAAGAAATCCTCAACTGCATTGTGATAGTGAATTTTAAAAGCCATTGTATACAGGGTGGAAGATTGTGGCCTTGTGGGTTTATTAACGCCCATATTTAAAATGTATTGTCGGGGCATGTTGAAGGACCCTTAAGGCTATACAAGCTCAAAACATTTTCAACGAAATTGCAATTGTTATACAGGGTGATTTATATCAAAGTTGCATTTTTTAATGGAACCCCTTGTATATTATTACATATTTCGCCCCTCTACGTAGGGAGCTTAACCCCTAAAATTTTAAATGGAATCCTATGGCAAATGGCACATTATTATTTTGAAAGCCAATTTAATCGTGATTACTAATCTGCTTTGCTTTTTAAATTCTATTAATTCGTTTCGGAGATAATTTTCTAAAAAAAAAACAAATGCGATGTATGTCACCTTGTATTAAAATTTTATTTTGACGCTTCAATTTGTTTGTGAACCTGTCAGTTCGAAAAAATGGCAATAGGAAGGTGTTTTTAAAAATTTTTTTTTTATTTGTTCAAATAACACAAGAAAAAAATAAAAAACGAAATCGGCTAATTTTGGTTTTTCCGGCATATCTTCGGAAGTAAAGGAAATGTTCTAGTTTTTTTGAAAACATGGTAATAACTGTTAACTTTTCCATAATTTGACCATCGTCGTATCTTATATGGTTTCCAAAATCCCCATGATAGACATCGTTATCTTGGACACTGTCTATAATTGTATTGTGACAGAAAAAATGTGTTTTAAAAAGTAAGAAATGGGTGAAGTGAAGCAAAGAGGGGGCCCCGAGCGATGCATTGCCTAGGGCCCCTGGCAGGGTTAATTTGGAAGCGGTAACACGACACTCGTCCGAGCATTGGGCACAGAAACGGACACGCACTGTTTTGCCAGCCAGTTGAGACTTAGGAACTGAATAATTTTGATGATTACAAAAAGACTACACAGTGATTACTAACGGGCGATCAATAATGAGTTGCTGTCGATTCGCCTTTGGAAGTTAAAGTTAAATACGAATTCCCATGTAAACAAAAATTCCAAAGGTGACTCGACAGCAACTCATTTTTGATCGCATAGTAGGTAATTACCTACATGATAACTGCGCAAATGATTACACAGACTATGCCGCGATTATACGAAGCGGTAAGCCTCTCGGGGGGGGGGGGGGGGGTAGTTTTTTCTCTATCGAGTGACGTAAAAATCCACTATGGCGTCTATTTAAAATAAGGAAGTATTCAGTATTTCGAAAATCGCCACGCCATAAGAAAAATGCGATAAAAAATGAGTTGCTGTCGAGTCACCTTTGGAATTTTTGTTTACAAGAGAAATCATACTTAACTTGAACTTCCAAGAGGGCAACTCGACCGCCACCATTTTTGATCGCCCGTTACTAGAAACCCGTTATACTAAAAAGATCGCCTTTGGTACACATTTGATTTACATTGTGCGACCATATTTTGACAAAACGAGCCTATGTTTACTCATCAAATTTTTGCTTTTTTGTATGATCTAAACAAATTTTGGAAATATGTTTACAAAATCTGAAAGGTCATACCCAAAAAGCTAGCTGAAACCGCAAGTTTCATCCTTCGTTACGGTTTTTTAAGAGAAAAGAATGGGGGAAAAATTCAAATTTTAGGAACATAAGTTCCCTAACGATCCATTTTGAACCTTGTGTTCATTTGTAAAATGTGCTTGTTTTCTACTTAACTGTTGCACTCTGCACAATATCAATTACTTACTTAAGAATTCCATGTATCATACAATGAAATTCTATTCATGCCTATTTATGCGCTTAATTTTTATTTACAACAATCCAATTTTTGTAAAAGGTATTTGTGTTAATAATTCGAAGACTAAACTATAAATTTTGGTTCAATATTACAATTCTGAAAGAGATAAAATCTGAAAGCATTTGTATCGGTCTTGGTGCGCCACACTAGCGACTTTTAGCGGACTTCATTTTTTTTGTACACTAGAGTAATATACTTTCGGAACGTTTCTCGTATAAATGAACGATATGATGCACGTGGCGACATCTCTTCGTAGTCTTGCGCACTACCAGAATCCAGTAAAGATTTTTGTGTTTGCGTTACTTCCATTTGGCTATAATTTTACAATTTACAAATACCCGGGTATTTGCTTTCACGTGCATGTACTTTATAAAGCATACTGGGTTTCACAAACTATAGGAGCTAAGAAGAGGAGCTGCTTTGGTTCTTTTCTGTCAGCTAAACACAAGTTTGTTGTTTGAGGTTAGGAATGTAGGCTTGTATTATAAATCAATAACTTTTCTATATACTTTTAGGGATGGCTTACATGGTATTTACTCATTATTTGCAATTAATGGATAAGTGTTGGCGATCCCAAGATGGTAAAATCATTGCAAATCTAATTTCGCTTCGTAATGATCACGTCACGAATAAAAATCTTGTGTTGGACCGACCCGAAGCTATGGTTGAACGTTTCCTGTCGAATCCCTTCGATGAGATCGTAACCTGTCACATCAAGTGCATCCACGCTTTACATAACAAAATGTACTTGGAAGCCTACCAATTTCAGAGTACATTGACTCAACTACTTACAAAAGTAATCCAAAACCAGCGAGAAGAAAACTGGGCACTGCCGATTATGTACACAGTCTGCTTAGATTTAAGATTACTAGCACAAAAGGTTGAGAAAGAGAGGAATAATGTTAACGACAAACCGGGAGAAATACTAGAGCGAGCTGCCGAAAGTTTGCTGGGCTGTTTTCGTATTTGTGCTGCCGATAATAGATCTTCTGAAGAGGATACAAAGCGAATAGGAATGTTAACATTAGTCAATCAATTATTTAAGGTTTACTTTAGAATAAACAAATTGCATTTATGTAAACCCTTAATTAGGGCTATAGAATCGTCTCCATTTAAGGAAAGTTTTGCATTGAGTGAACAAATTACTTATAGGTATTTCGTGGGAAGGAAAGCGATGTTTGATAGCGATTACAAGGCGGCTGATGACTATTTAACGTATGCATTTGAAAATTGTCATCGTTCAAGTATTAAAAATAAGCGTTTAATATTAATCTATCTCGTTCCTGTGAAAATGCTGTTAGGATACATACCGAGTAAGCAGGTGCTGGAAAAGTATGATGTGACACAATTTTGGGAATTGGTGCAGGCAGTTTGTCAAGGAAATTTAAGGTTGTTTGACGACATTATGGATAAGCACGAGACATTCTTTATTAAATGTGGAATTTATTTAATTGTGGAGAAATTAAAGATTATAGCTTATAGGAACTTGTTTAGGAAAGTGTATTTAATTTTAAATACGCATCAAATACCTGTTGAAGCATTACAGTCTGCTTTAGCACTTTTAGGACAGGATGATGTTGACCTAGATGAGACTGAATGTATTGTGGCTAATCTTATATTTGAAGGTAAAATTAAAGGGTACATTTCTAGGCAACATCGTAAGGTTGTAGTTAGTAAACAAAACCCATTTCCATCTTTAATAGGTTTGTCATAGTTAAGAATAAATTCTCCTTTGTAACTGTAATAAAATTGTGTAATATTAAGTTTTGTTACATAATGTGTTCATTTTTACAATGTGTTACACCAATCTGATGTTTCACATGACTAGTTTGGCATAATAAACTCTTATACTGGTTCAATACGATCATTTCAAACTTTATTGTGTTTTTGTGCTTTGGAGTTGTTCATAATGATTAAAGGAACTTTGTTTTAAGGTTCAAGCATTGCTCATTCAATTCAGAATTCAGTTTGATTCAAGTTTAATGATTACTAAGCCTTTTTGGATCTTTTTGAACTGTACAAAGCAGAGGTTTTATTTCCACCTGCACCCTATTGATGCTTATTAAGTAGTGCAGTTGAGAACTTCGATGTGCAAAGCCACTAACCACATCTAATAATTAAGATTAAATGGACAAAAGGATATGTACCTACAAAATAAAGTTAAATCTGAATTTTGTGCCTTAAAATATGATCCATTGGTTAGTTTTCAAATGTGTGATGTGTAAAATTTGTTTCACATGAAATATGTCTCTTTTAGGTAAACAATGTCTTCTTTAATTAACACTCAAAGGATTTGCGGAGTTGTGGCAAAATCTCTACAGCTCTATTTTGTACCTATACAGGGTGGTGACTTGCGTAACGCATCATAGGGATTTAAATGTAAAATTCATAACGTGCGATTATTGGCTCCCTAAATTATTTTCGAGCAAAATGTATTAAAGTTTTTTGTAGAAAAAGATTTTTTACGCCAATCAGTTAACTGTATTAGTTTTCAATTTTTTTCATATAAAGACGGAAAATTGGAAAAATAAAATCCGCGTCTTTTTCAATAATCTGCGATGCCATGGAATGTTCTAAAACAAAAAGTTATCCAGTTATCAATTAGCAGCAGTTCGAAAATGGATTTTATGATCGACTTGGTTACTGTCTTGCAGTTAATGGTGAGTTTTTCGAACAATTATTGTAAATTATTATATTAGGAAACCGTTTTTAGTACTTAATTTGGTCTTTCTTTATGTTGAATTCGCTGTTCTAAATATAATACTTTTTAATAGAATTTGATTTGTTTTATAGCAGACATTCCATGGCATGACGGACATTGGCGTAGTTTTTGTATTATAAAATTCCGTGGCATCACACATTATTGAAAAAGATGGGAGTTTTATTTTTCCAATTTTCCGTCTTTATTATCAAAAACATTGAAAACGATTACGGTTGATTGACGTAAAAAATATTTTTCTACAAAAAACCTTAATACATTTTTGCTCTAAAATAATTTGGGGAGCCAATAATCGCATGTTATGAATTTTACATTGAAATCCCTATGATGCGTTACGCAAGTCACTACCCTACCTGTATACCGACATTCAAAGACTTGCTGAAAGCAAGTGTCTGAGAGTACTTGCTGAGGGAAATTGCTTTTTACAACTTGCTTTATGTAAGTGCTAGCGCAAGGTACTCTCAGAATTACTATTGCAATTTATTACCCCGTATAAACTACGTTTAAGAGCGTAGTCCCTAATATTCCTTTATACTTATGGCATGCCATGATTGATGATGTGAGAACTGTATGGTATTCTAGGTAGGTAGGTACTTACTAATACTGCCTACATATCTATTGTAATATCCTTATATGAATGTCCTGTCATACTTCCAAATTGCATTATGTAGAATATTGTCCTTATATGTAATAAATCCCATATGAGGTGGGCAATTACAGCGGTAATTGCATTGTAGAAAGTGAAAGAGCCCTGCGATAATTGCACAGTCCATATCCATGGCAACTGGCAACTCCTTTGGACACTTTCATAATACACCGACAATTTATAAGTAGCATGTTTGTCACTTGTCAGTCAAAAAACTGTATTCGATAATTTTCATATTTTGTTAAAAGAGCCCGACACTATGAAAATAAACTCATGCAGTTTTAGACAACATCTGCTTTCAAAAAAATTATCGGTAATTTTGATGCACTTGTGCAATTATACCTACGATTATTTTTTGACGTTTCTCGAAACCAATGGAAATGTTCAATTTCACTCATTCATATACGTTCTAGCCACTCAAAAGTCAAAACATTATTATAATATAATTATAATAAAATAATCTACTTACATTATTCTAGCGAGAATTATTCAATGTTCGTTTTTATTGAATGACAATTACCACATGACAACGTATTTTCTTGATGTGACGCGTCTGTCATAAATTTTCAAGAAGTTTCGTAAAATGAATTCCAAACGTTTTAGTGAACCATCAGTCGATGTAAATAAGTAACATAATCATTGAAAGTGCATGTAAGAATACCAGAATAAGAAACGCATCTATTTGGAAACAATTTCAATTATTTTGCGACGTGGGGGGCTATAAATTGGAAGAAAATACATCCACAGAAAAACTCGCCGTTATTTTGAAGGACTATTGGTTCAATATCAAAAAACAGAATGGAGAAGACTATAAAGAAGCTGTGATCAAGACAATGTGGAATAAGACCGCAAAATTTAATGCAAAATATGTACTACGACAAATTTAATAGAAGATTCGAGTTCGACCCATTCAATGATATCGAATTTAAACCCGCCAGAGATGCTAAAAACACCAAGCGTAGGGGAGCTAACACGAAATCCACTGAACGAGAATGATCAAAATTTTAACCGATGGTGTTCCATTTTGCCCTATCAGAGTATGCTAAAATCGATCGTCTGCCGCCTCAGGTCATACGACTTAAGGCGCTGCGGGTACTTCTTGCGGTACCAATTCTGAAAGGTTGTTTTTCGAGAAAATAAGTTATACACCAAATGAAAACGTTGATAATAGCTCTTAAAAAAATATTTAAAAAAATCGCGCGCATTTGATAACTCCGTAAAAAAACAATTCTTAGTCGGTTTTTCACGAACTTTCTACGGATATAACTAGGTTACGGTTGGACGAATGAAGCTGATTTTTTTTTACAGACTGATGATAGGTACTACTAATGACTTAACGGTGTTTCGTTTTTAAATTTTTTCTCTAATTACAAGTTTATCTTATTATCTTAACATTATAAGATATCTTATAATTAGAGAAATAATTTAAAAAAGAAACACTCTCATATTCATTGGCTGTACCTATCATTAGTCTGTAAAAAAAATCAGCTTCATTCTTCCAACGGTAACCTAGTTATATCCGTAGAAAGTTCGTGAAAAACCGACTAAGAATTGTTTTTTACGGAGTTATCAAATGTGCGCGATTTTTTTAAATATTTTTTTAAGAGCTATTCTCAACGTTTTCATTTGGTGTATAACTTATTTTCTCGAAAAACAACCTTTCAGAATTGGTACTACAAGAAGTACCCGCAGCGCCTTAAGTCGTATGACCTGCAGACGATCGATTTTAGCATACTCTGATAGGGCAAAATGGAACTCCATCGGTTAAAATTTTGATCATTCTCGTTCAGTGGATTTCGTGCTAGCTCCCCTACTATAAGTTATTACAAAAGAGCCCGAAAAAAGGGAACAAAGTCCTGCAAGTTTGAGCAAGCGCTCGTGGTATTAATCAGCGTAACTAGCATTCGTGACAGCATCTCAAAAATATTCGACAATACTTCGACCACTCATGGTATTATGTATTATGATAATTGCACGTGTGATATTTCAATGCGATTTTTCAATGTCAAACTTCCACCAGTGAAATGTCGCGAAATTTTTTGGTATTAACCAGAACATTCTTCATGTTTGTGAATCAATTTCGACAACCGACTTATCATCACATCTTTTAGTTTGATCACTCATAACGAATTAGTTTGAGCATAAAAGTTCGAATATATATAGAATCAATATCAAAATGAAAAGCAACTTCCGTAATTTATTTTGACGTTTATTGTTGTCGTGGAAATAATGTCATGGCTTCGGGATTATCACGTATAAATATAAATTCGCGTGGTTAAAGTTTCTTTTGATTCATTGAATAGTCCTTCGAATACCAGTCGTAGTCGAAATACTTATTTCTCAATTATGTTTGAGGTGCTGTTCCACTCATAGCATTTCTGACAGTACCTCAAAAATTATCGACAATACTTCGACTACTCATGGTATTATACAGGGTCATTCTTGACGAGCGTCAGTTAGAAAGATATGGAAAACCTTTGAAAATTAAGCTAAACTGATAAGTCCTTTAAGGGTTTTGGCACATGATGAATTGAACTAAAATATTTTCAAAATGGCGCCACTTCCGGAAATACCGGAAGTAGCCATCAACTTTGTTATTTTAAATAGGGACCCCCTATTTTTTCTACATTTTCGGATTCTACGTCGAATTTGGAGTACCTGACCCTTTGCTCCAAGGGCTTCGCCGATATTCAAGTTTTTGTGTCAAAAATTGAATTTGCAGGGGTAATTTTAAAAATTTATTATTCGAAAACGGTGAGAGATATTGCAAAACAGTTTTCAATGCTTTATTAAGGAAAGATCGAATTTTCTTATGGTATGCGTAACAGTCTAAAAAAGTGAGACTACGTCACTTTTTCAAAGCTCTCATCTTTTAAACTTTTAAATATCCGTAACTCCATTTTTTCAAATGGCACCCCCCATTTTGTTCTTCACCCTTGTTTTCTTTTTTTCCAGACCTTTAATTTGATGCAAAATGTCAAAAGCTGCTTCAAGCGGTTTTCGAGATATTCCATGTTTTAGTTACTTCTTGTGACAAATTGATAAAAAAATTCAGTCGCTTGATGTTATTCTTTTGTTTTTATTATGATAATGTTTAAACGTCAAATTTTTCGCTGTTTGAACTAATACTTCTGGTCAATAATGGCTCGTTGGGTTACACTAATGAAGATTTTTGAATTTAATATTACCTAATACACGGTGATTGTAATCGAATAGTTGCCAGGACTTGTCGTCTTTTTTCCGAAAGATACCATGACAAGGCGCAATCCACATAGGCTACAATTCGCAAATTACTACAAAATTTCAGGAATAACGGTACCGTTGTACTCCAAATTCGACGTAGAATCCGAAAAATTAAAAAAATAGTAGGTCGCTATTTAGAATAACAAAGTTGATGGCTACTTCCGGTATTTGCGGAAGTGGCGCCACCCTTTGTGCACTCGTGTCTGATATGTCAATTTCTCTTTGGATATCATTAAGCGATGCAGTTGGAT